CTTAATGATTCTATGATTCTATGAAATGGTTTTGATGTAATTAACCTTCAAAAAATGTGTTAGGCTATAGTGTTGTTTCTGTTGTGTTTAAAATAGATTCAGTAAAAGATTGTGGTTCCAGTTTTATATATAATTAAAGTATTAATCACATCCTAATTTAAGGGATAGGATGACTGAATAGATAATAAACAAAGATTGGAACCTGTTAGCTCTTGATTGCTTCTAGTTTAAATGTAGCCTAGCTTAGTGGTGCAGGGATTGTGAAATAATTGAAAGACTTGGCCTGATTCTGTCTGGTCAAAATCACCTGTTTTATTTGTATTAACTGAGGTCTGTGATAATATTTTCAGTAAAGAGCTGCTGAAGTGCTTCATATCTAATTTCCCCTCCAATTTCAAGTTTGAACCCTCCCAGTTACATAAACTAGCATTGCTGATGCTGGAAGTGTTTCATTTGTTAGTAAGAGTTTGTACTTAGCTTAATAGTAGCCCTTACCCTTATTTTAGACTTCTGAAAAGTTAAAAACAAAAAGCTTGAAAATCAATGTAGATTATACTCAAAGGAGATAGGGTTTGTTTCGCTTTTTAAAACAAATCATATGTTTAAATTAACTTCTGGAATACTGGATTTTCATATTGCTTTCCAGTTACAGTATAATTTCAATGTTACTCTTTGTCATGAAGAACACAACAATTCTTGCTCTAAAAATATTTCAAATGAGAGGCTATAGCAACATGTCACTTTGGTAGCCTAGAAGAATTATAAAAGCTGAAGAAGGTCTGATGCTAGTTCTTTGTGATTAGAAAGGGGGGGTGGGAAGTGAATAACAAGTTTTTGTTAAATTGGGCATGGTTCTGTTAAGATGATCTGATTACTTAGTTTGATATCACCGTAAGTGTTTGGTACATTTCCAGTGAAATGAGTTGCATTATTTAGCTGGAAATGACTAAACTGTGATGTATTGGGAGAAACAAATAGTGGTAGGATTGAGAGCCAGTATCTGTATTGGCATATATAATACAATGCAGTTTAGATAATAAGGTGATCATTGTTCTAAAACAAGTAAAAGAAAAAAAAATAAAGATTAAGTCATGCTGCAGTTGTTGCACAAAACATTCAGCTGTGTGAGAGCAATGCCAGCCTGAACAGCATGTGGCCTTCAAGCGACACCACCACCCAGCCCTCAGGCGGGGGTTGCTGTTGTTTTGGGACATACGGAGTGGTGGTGCTGAGCTGGCACAGGGGATCGGTCCTGAGAAGTGACAGATGCCACCTGACTGCATTCAGTGCTTGTATTACTAGGACTTTGCCAAGCACCCTCAGGTTTTCAAAGTGGTTTACAGCTTTTCACAGGCTGCATGCAGTAAAATCTGTGTGTACGTAGCAAATGGATTTTTGTTGTTGTTGTTGTTGTTTAACTTTTTGAAACAAATTTTACCTCTGTAGTCACTCTTGAATGATGCAAGCATAGTTGCTGCAAATTAGGTCAGATCTTTCCAACTAACTACTTTCTTCCCTCTCTTCTCCAAAATGGGGTAGGCGATATTTATATAAATTTCATACTTGTGGCGTAGAATGGCTTAGATATTACATGCAGTAAACTTTCAGGTGTTCTTTTAAATTTTAGTGTTCTGGGTTATAGAGATCTGACAGCTATCTGACAAGCATCAAAATAACATATAAATTATTCTTCCTGCAGGATATATTAAAATTATTTGCAAAATTTGGTTGGGAAACTTACTTTTATTTGCAGCTGCGTAACTCAATCATACCTCTACTGTCAGCCAGGAGGATGAGCGCAAAACTGGTGTGAAAATAATCTGAACCTTACTCTCTGTCAAAGAAAAGTAATTGGGCAGAGATGACTCATTAATTGCACCCAAAACTATCAGATGTACAGTAAAATTCTGTTCTCCATCCTATCGGGCAGTATTGCACTTCTGCCTTCTCCAGAGAATGGCTTTCTCCATCTCTGGGACGCTCCTGTCTCATGTTGGAAGCCTTTAAATCTTTGAGCAGAGATTTAGGATTCACCTCATTCATCTCATCTGGGCCAGAAGCCTGACCAAGTGGGAGCTCCTGCTTTCTATTACCTAAAAGGATCCATGTGCTCATGCACCATGTAACTTCTTTTTACCATTCAGTATGGCTGGTATATCACAAGCTCTGACAGAATCCACGTGCTTTTTAGGAATAACAGCTCAGTCAGGATTCCCAAGTTTTAAAATGGACGTAAGGAGGAAGTTTACCTCAATTTGGATGGCTTGGATAAACTCCTGTGTGTCAATAAATATGTTAATATGGAGCCAGAGTACCATATTTGGTTTTATGTTTATATTATGCTGAATTTTATTGGTTTAAGACTGTTTAAACTTTACCATAAACAAAAGAAAAATGTTGATGGTTTTTATTTGTTTTCACGCCATTGAGCTTCATGCCACAGAAATCAACGTTAAATTTACACACGCCTTACGTTTCTCTAATCTTGAGAAATTGTGTCTGTGTTGTCATGGCAGGATGAAATAGAATTAATGCAAGTCTGACCTTCAGCAAACACTAGCCCCTGGAACTTGAGTAGGTGTTTGGACTTCACTTCAGTTGTCTGCAGATGTCCATGAAGCAAAGTTCCAAACTGCTGGTTCCCTAGTTCCTTTAAAAAATTATTAACCTGAAAACCATAGGCATTTGACTTTGATAGTATTGTTTTCATTACTGCCAAAGTAATGGGAAAGATAACACTGTCTCTGTCACATGCACACTCATGAACTCTAATAATAGTCAAGACCGTAAGTATAACTAGAAATAATGTTATAGGTCTTTTTTCCATGGCTATTCAAACAAAGTAATAAAAAAAACATTGGATTGCAGTGTTTAGTAGGATAAAGGATACTACTGTGTCTAGAGATCTTGTGAATGCTGACATGCTGTCACAACAGATCGGTCTTATCAAGGATGTTTTGAAAAGTTGCACTGCCAGGCTCCACCCCCCCCACCCCCCCCCCCCCCACCTCAAATATAATGCCATACCAAAAATCCCTGACTTGTTCTGATATGTATGCATAAGTACACTTGGTCTAGAGTTTCTCTGCCACAAGGTGACTTTAAATTTAAATTCCGTGCTCTAAAAATTGAGTATCTAATTATGAAGTTGTTTTAAGTCTGTAAATTAAAAATAGGTCAGTAAAGCTTTAAAAATAAATGATCTGGGAACAGTGCAATTAACAATGCTTTGTGGCAACTTGGGCAAAAGATGCACTCATTAACTGGGATTTTTAATTTTCTTGTCTAAAAGCTAAAATAATTTCCTGACTGTGTTTTTATAAGAGAAGGATGCTTTGGCAGCAGAGAGATTCTGTTACAAGAAGAAACTTGTCTGATACAGCAAGCAACATTGCCAGATCACGTTTTGCTTTTACTATCATTTTTTGTTAACTAGTTTTTAGGCTTGAAGATAGAGAGTTAATGTAACGCTTTCGACTAGTATTTGAAGAAACTATCTTCAAAGAGATAACTTGGAAATCTGACTGACTTTTAGAAATTCTGTAGTCTAAGAGCTCCCAGATACTGTATAAATCCATTTGAAACAATCAAGAGAGTAGGAGTGAACGTCCTAAATGTATTCTGTTGGCTATTCAGGAATATTTGGCATTACCCCACTTAGCTCTCATACTATGAAATACTGTTTCCTTTTTTTAACACAGAAATGGAAGCATAATTGGGACATTACTCAAATTTACAGGTTGCCTGGGATGTAAGTGGAGGTTTCAATGTCCTTTTGATTTTACATTCAGTATAGACAGTTTGGCAGTAAAAATGTTAGCTAGTATCTGAAAACTATCTCGTTTTAGACTGACCTAATCCAAGAAGTTGATTTTTAGTACACATTAGTAGCAGTTTCTTGTTAGCAATATTGTTAAAGTATAATATTTATTACAGTAATACTACTGTATATAAACTTGCTGTTTGAAATTATGCTCAGTATAGCCAGACCCTATACTTCAACTCAACTTTACAGCAGCTACTCCTTTAGGAAAGCTGAAATGAGGATGGGTTCCAGTTTAATCCAGATTATTAAACCAGTTATATTTAGTCATCAAAATCAGACCTACTTAGAACCTGTCTAGGCAGTTAAGAAGTATCTTTTACAATAATAGGTTGAATATCTGTATAATACTAAACAAGACCTGTCCTCTTTTATTATGGCCTGCTATGTGATGTGATAATCAAATATATGCCTTTCCTGACCATCATTACAGAATGCTATTGCTGTTTTCTTGCCTTTTTTTTTTTTTTAAATTTTGCTTAAATATTCCCTCCAAAAGAACAAGAACCTTTTTAAAAAATCAGATCCACACACTAGCAGTTTTATATTTCATCCAAACATTTTTTGGTTATATAATCATGGTACTGAGTTCTTCATATAAATAAAAGTTAAGAACAAAAAGGTAGAACATCTTAAGCAAATGGTTTTGAATGTTTCTATAGAAATTAAATGAACTTTCAAAATGAACTTGTTCTCCAAATACGAATTTGCTCTGGGTTTTAAGTAAAGTGTAAACATTTGTGAAGACAGGACATAGATGGTTGCATGTTTTCAGGTTAATAAAACGTTGCAAGGTAATAGCAAATTAGCTACAATTTCACATCTGTATTATTTAATATTCAGGAGCCAAAAGTTCATTATTTCTATTATTACTGTTTTCCTGTAGGATGTCAGCTGTAATGAAATCACAGTTTTGCCACAGCAGATAGGCCAGCTGAAATCTTTAAAAGAACTGAATGTCAGAAGAAATTACCTCGAAGTTTTACCCCAAGGTAAAAACAAACAAACAAAAAATCCTAATACCTTTACGGTAGCTCTTTTTATTAGCATTTAATCATGTAAGTAAATATAATTAAAAAGTGGCAATTACTTTGTGTTCAAATTTATTCTATTTGAGTTTGCAGAATATAACATTCAGTGGTATTCACTAAATAACAGTGCATGAGGTTTTTTTTTAACGAGTTATCTTTATGATTCTAGGCATCTTTTAAGTTGCACAACTACTTACCAGTGAATGCAGTATGGGAACTGTCAGCTGAGTTTCAGGGGAAAAAAAAAGCCAAAGTATTTATTTTAAAATTTATTGTCACTTGTATAACAATAACACTCTTTTCATTTCCCAGTGTAGAATGGAGTAAAGGTTGATTATATTCCTGCCTAAGTTTGTATTTTTCCTGAATGCCAAAGAAAGTTTAATCAGAAATATTGTATTATTTTATTATTTTATGGCAAAAATAAATACAGATATAACACCGTCTCTCTTTTTTGTTACTTTTAGAACTAGTACAGCTTCCCTTGGTAAAGTTCGACTTTTCCTGCAATAAAGTACTTGTGATTCCAATTTGTTTTAGAAAGATGGTGCAGTTACAAGTATTGCTGCTTGAGAACAATCCTTTGCAGTCTCCACCAGCACAAGTAAGTAACATCTATCATTTAAATTGTGCCCCTTAATATTGGGTGGATGATAACAAATCATAGCTTTTAAAATGTCACCTTCTGCAACTGCAGGCTTCTGGATGTCAGCCATCACAGACATTAGCTGTTGATGTATAAATAAGACACAGAAAGTATGCTATGTTCTGTGTATGAGTCTATGCACTACTTGAACCAAAATGAGTCTAGAAGATTTCCATTCAATTAGCTACCTGTTTATTTTTGTCGTTCCTATCTGCGTATGAAACTTAATGTTGGAATATGTATACAATTTTGGAAAAAAGAATTGAGAAACTTCCTGGATATATTTTCTCTCTGTTAATAAGAACCCAGTTCTAGAAGGTTCTACAGTGATTTACTATTAACTTAAAAACTATGCAGACAGTCTAGAACGTAATCCATGTGAAATTTATTTTACTTCATAGTGTAAGATTGTGATACACAAAGAAATCAAACTCCTGTTCTGAACTGTAGGCCATGCTGAGAAAAGATGATAATAAATGAATGGAACCTGTGCTTGCTGCTTAAGGACAACTTCATTGTTGGCTTACTGGACAGTAGATTCAAACTACATCTCTGAAAGCTACAATTATTCTAGATCAACAGCTGTTGAAATACTTGAGAGTTTTTGTTACATTGGGGAAGTGCTTTTCATAACCAATAGTGATGCTGCTATTAAACTCAAAAAATACAGAGCAGGTTTCAGCAAGCACTTGAGCTAGAAGTGTGCAGTTCAAGAAAAAAAATTCTAAAATGCAGGTGAAATGCATCATAAAGATGGTTGGACACTAGTAAAAACAATGTGACTAAGAGTATAAAGGACATGCTGATTAATTAAATATCATTATTGACTAATTTTGGAAAATAATTATTAAATTTACGGTTAGTAATAGGCCATACGATATATTTTATAGTAATTTGTTTGAGTGAAAAGCTCATTTGGATTTTAAGTGGAATATATTCTTTTCTTGTTTTCTGTCTTACTCTCTGAGGGTATTTATGCTAGTACACACAGAAAATTGATTGGGTAATTGAAACGGTTCTTAGTAATTTAAAACGGATTTTATTCTTTTTTTTTACGTGGTATCTATTGTGACGATATGAGTTGGTTTTCAGGGATTTTTACGCTGACATTTGGAATAAATTATTTCTTTCATTCTAGTTATAAACCTAACTTTTTTTCTTGTCTAACAGATTTGTACAAAGGGTAAGGTGCATATATTCAAATATCTGACTGTACAGGCCTGTCAGATTAAAACAGCAGACTCACTGTACCTTAATGCCATAGAACAACAGCATTTGCCACAACCCGTGGAAGAAAGGTATGTATGATAATGTCACTTATTTTTTTCATGTAACACTTATGAACGAAGTGAAATAAGTATATTTATATCTTTAGCTTCCAGAGTTTTGTTTGTTTAGATGCTATTTAGAGTGTACTTTTTTTGAACAGAGATTTGTTTTGCTTTAATATATTTTATTCTAGTGAAATCCCTATAAGAGTTTAGAACTAAATATTTTTAACAATCTGTTCTGATTAAAGTTAGCAGCACATTAGGAAAGAGCTTAGAAGTGAACCTTAGTTTAAATCTAACCTCTTACTAGTAGACTACTGGAATATATTAAAAATAATTGAGGTGGTAGCTATCATTAAATGTTGCAACTTCTTGTAAATCTATTAACACATTAAATAAGTTTTAATTTCTTGTGTTGTTTTGTGATTTATATGTTGTTACACATTCGTTGCGTAGTTGTTTTAAGCTTTTTTTATTCATCCAGAGGCTTATCCATCTGGCCAAGAGAACTGCATGAATGTTAAGACCCTTTTAGTGTGAAATGCGCTAATTTGTTAGCAAAATGAAAGACAAAATCTTTCATGTCTTACATCAAACATCTAGGAAATGTCATCTTGTATGGTGGTTAAAGGACAGGAACTAGACAAAAAGCAGCTCCTTTTTATGAGAATCTCCATAGCTGATTGGAAACCAGTTTTTAGCCAGCTCTTTCTTCGCTAACGTGGGAAGTATAATATAACCAATCAGAGAAAGTACAATAATGCCTTATTTTGGGAGAGAAGTACTCAATAAAAACAAAGTGTTGATGTAAATAAAAAAAGAGATGTTGCTGCTAACACCCTGGAAAAAAAGAAGAACCATTATGGAATCTCCTGTAACTAACAGCTAATGCTCTATCACATAATAATTACCAAATTCTTATTTTAGAGAATAAGTTCACACTTCTAAAGAAAAAGCATAACCTGGTTAGGATTTCCATATGCAGTTTCTACACAAAATCCTTAGTGTTTACTGATAAGAAGTAACTTAAGATTAGGATTAATCAAATATCTTACTCATGTGAAGACTGATAAAGTTCTTTTTTAAATTGCTGTGTCAGTGTGAATTCAGGATTACAGTTTCCAGGATTGCAAATGAGAGGATAATAAAGCATTAAAAAAAAAAAAGTTAGGTGATGAGTGTATTGCATTTAATAGTGTACTTTAAAATGAGTGGAGGTCATACTAGGTAATGAAACCAGGAGAGAGAGCAGTTGCCATTATTATAGTCGTTTTCTTAAAAACCTAAATTTCAAAGTCTATTTTAAAGCACCAAAAGAAGGTTTCTGTGTTAATAACTACTTCAAGCCGCAGGGAAATACCAGTTGATTTTTAATGCATCAATGGTTACAATTAAATCAGTTGACTCCAGTTTGAGTTCAACTAGTTTAGCTGCTTTTCCCATGGCTAAATTGACTTCAGTTGGATGCTTGTGCTACTTAGCTAGTAACTAAGCATTTTTACCTAGTGTGTAGACAAAAGCAAGCTTTATAGCAGATTATTTCTGTTGTTTTCGTTAACCATTAGGCTAACCAGCCATTCCACCTGATCTATTTTACTATCACCAGACTGCAGATGTGCAGTTTTTAACCATACTAGGCTATTTCACCCTCTACCATTAAGACGGGTTGAAATTTTGCTTTGATTTAAGTGAAACCAGGACAGAATTCTAATGGTAAATGCTATGACAGCTTTTTTTTTTTTTAATTCATATCTAGCATGGATGACATCTACCCAAGTAAAAAGGACTCAGATTCAGGTGTTGGTAGTGATAATGGCGATAAACGTTTGTCAGCAACAGAGGTAAGTTGCCTGAATTTTGTGTCCAGCTCCCCTTCTTTTTGCACCCATATTTTGACTATATTTTAAGTTGAGTAACAATGTGAATATGTTTTTAGCCACCAAAACTGTGCAACCACATCCTTGGCATGAATTTCTTGCTAAGAAATGGCTAAAACAAAGATAAAAGGAGACTCTGGTTTTTTTTGGGGGGATGGGGCAGGGGCGGGGTTGTGTTGGGGTGTTTTTTGTCTGTACGCTTTCTGGAGAGGACAGTGAGATACTTGCTTACAAATGGTCAACAACCTACCAATAGTGAAAATTCACTACAGTTTTCAGACCGTTTACATAATCTAGAGAATGAGGACCAAACCAGAATCCACGTCTGCTCTTTCCAATGAAGTAAATGTCCTAAAAGGTTACATGCCTGGCAGCTTCTCGCTTCTTTTCTCTCTGACTGATGACTCTTTCCTGTTGGGAATTGACAGGAGTTCAGTGTGCCCAGTCCCAGTGTGTTCTGTGGTGTCATGGTTATGGCAGTTTGATGTAGTGTAGGAACTTGAGAAACTTTGTAGATCTTAATGCGTTTACATGCTCTGGCAGTTAGGCAGTGCTGGAAATAAGCCTTCAGAATTTTTTCTGAACTATATTGTCTGACTGAGCAAAGAGAAAGGATGGCTTTCTGAGACTAGTGTCCTAAGCAGTTACAGCTGACTTTCCGAGACCCTTTTTCTGAGGCACTGCTCAGCTAAACGGGGCACTAAACCTAGTTGGAGTTGAACTGAACAAATAATGATAAATAAGTAAATAATTTGCAATATAATTCAGTGATGATCTTTCTGAAATGTACAAATAATGGGATTTGTGGTCTGACCTAATGGGAAATATTCAGGTCACAATAAAAGAATGGGCTTCTTGCTACTTAAAATAATTTTACATTGATTCATTAGTGTTTCTCTCCTTCTTTGAGGAAAAGAGATTCTGTTGCTTTTGAAACAAATGTATAAAGAATCAAGCTTAGGTACTGAATTTGTAGTTATTAAAAAGCAAATTGAAAATGAATCCACTTACACCCTGATTGGTCTTTTAAATACAAAAGCACTTAAAAAAACCAAACACCACAGGGATTTCCAAGTATTTGGGCAAGTTTCTTGCTAGATGGAAATGAAGCGGAATTATTGTGATTTCTAGCCAGACTTCTAATGGTTTCCCTCTAGTTGTAAGAGCGTGCAGTCCATTCAGAGATGCTTACAAACTGTTTTACCATTCTTACACTTCCTGAAGCTGAGTTAGCTTGTTAATGAAACTGTTATTCCAGAATTTCTTCTTTAGCTATAAATAACACCTTTAGAAAATAGATCATCTTTCCTGTAATCAAAAACATATTTTCAAATTATAGTTATCAAATTAACAAAACATGAATCTTTGAACTAGAATAACTAAATTTAGTGCTTAAATGTCACATGAGATACAACCTGAAAGAGAAGGAACTTCACTGTAACCTTGGCTGTCTGAATGAATTTATATTGTGCATGTCTTTTTTTTTTTTTTTTGAGCTGTTGGATTGTCATTGTTTCAGGTCTAAAAGAAATAGTGAATTTTGTGCTTAGGATACTTGGAATGTGTTTTTTTATTTTCTGCTTGAGATACTAATTTGTTTCGTTTTAAAATAAAATTTATTTTATAATCTAAAATTTATTTTAAAAATAGACAAATAGGAACAGAACTGCAATGTTAGTTCACTTCATTATAAAGTTTCATCATTTTGATAAGGCTTTATCAGGTCCCTGAATATCCTTTTGAATTTTTTCTCTTTCAGCAGAAGAATACAGCCAATGAATTCATAATGTTACTAACATATGGTTTATTCATAAAGAAGCACATTTATGGTGGTCCACATTTACAGAATGTGTTAAGTCCAGGGTATTCTTGGCAAATAGTGTAGTGAGGAAGATAGGAAAAGACAACAGATAAATTATGCTGCTTGGCAAGCCTACTGTGAGGATGTATGCAGCATGACTACAGCTTCCTACAGCAGGATTTGGTCAAGTTAGATGCTCTGGTATCATCTCCCATATTAGTTTGCTGCTCTTTAGTGAGCACTCTTCTTAATATATATGTTTTTATCAGTCTTGGTTTGTGCTGAAACAAGTGTTTCTCTTATTTCTTCTTAGCCATCTGATGAAGATACTATCAGCTTCAATGTTCCAATGTCGGACATCATGGAAGAAGATCAGGTTGTAAAGGAAGATTCAGGTCACCACGCTAACTCAAGAAAAGGTTGGAATGTAAAAAAAAATGGAAGTTAAATGCAGGGAAATTCTGTCAATAATTCTACGTATAAGACTAAATTCAGTTTGCAAAAATCACAGCCCAACAAGCATCAGTCTTGTACAAAAGCAGAGTCCATTTCTGTAGTTGGACTTAATGCATGTATAAAGATTTATTATTCAAAGTCAGCATTTCCCCTAGAAAGAAATAAATCTCTTCAGGTTTTGAGAGAAGGTGTAATTTTATCTAAATTTTATTAAAGTAACTTACATTTTTCTAAATTGTATCTCCGTACTGATAAACAATATTTCTCCAAGGTCTGCACATACTAACGATACATGGCAGGATGAACTTAGTGAGTTGCATGTGGAAACCACATAAATAGAAGATCAGCCTTTCCCCAGTGTTACGTACTAGATTAAATGGACTTAAATTGAGATACTCATCAGAATTTAGTAGAATACTAAGTGAGATAGTAAAAGCACTACATCCTACCTACAGTGTTTATTGGCACACTGGAGAGGGTAAGTTATAGGATCAGACCGCTTCAAGCAGAGGGGAAAATTATTACTCCCTCATATCCCTGGAAGTAGTATATGTAAGCAAGAGATTGGCATAGGCTCTGAAGGCTCTGAATCACTTGGTTTGAGTTCTGCTGAGAGTTTGTGTTTGTTATAGTATAACAGCTCTGAAGTTGCATTAAACTGCAAGTCACTGGCTGAGACATCTGAATGTCCGAAAATGCTCTCTAGCTGTCCAACTGTGTTGTTGTACTGGTACTGGCAAGACATATTTGGTGTAGTTCAAAACGGGCTCCATCAGTGCCTGTTGTGGTGCTTCTGATCTACAACTGTATGAGCCCAAGGTATTGATTTATTACAACTTTGTAATTAACTGGCATCACTCCTTAGAATGCAAAAGTCTTAACTTGTTTGAGGTTTTTAATATGCTTTGAATTTAAACTTTGCTTGTTTTTGAGCTCTATAACTTAATACATTTAAATTGTGTTGTGTAACAAATGTTGAGCTGAACCAGAAATCATTCTTCTATCTTTTGTTGTTGTTGTTATTAGTGGGATTCCATCAGGGATCTTCTCACTTGATTGTCAATGATAAGTCAAGAGAAACAGGAAACCAGTTTGATGAATCGGATACTCTTACTACTGAATTTATGAGTTACATTAAGGCAAGTTTGTGACAATTTTAAATGGGGGGAAATATCTTCACTACTCTCATAAGTATAGAGCAAGCAGGAATAACAAACTGCAGACATTTTAATGAATAAGAGACTGCAATTGATATTCATTGTCATAAAAAATACAGAAGGCAAAAATAAGCAAGTTTAAAGTGATTATAATTAATCTAGGAGGTCAATTTACCCATAACTCTTTTTCAAGTATATGTGAGAGTTATCCTTTAACTATGTTTAAGGCTTTAAGAAAAAGTGGCAGATACGTTCTGTACTGTTTGCTTTATATTTTGAATTGAGCAATTTCTGCATTTGTTACATTAGTAAAATGCAAGAAGACTTTCAGAGTTAGCTGTGGTGGCTAAAGTTATGAAATAACGTTACGGTATTAAAATACATTCTCCTAAATGTTTTTAAATTATAGTAGAAATTGAGAGATCTTTAAAGACAAATTATATAAAATCTAAAATAACATCTATTACTCTAGTAACCTACCTTTTACAAGATTTGGCAACTTCCTTTCTTGATGGATTTTGGGAGTATACACTGACTCTGTTACGAACTTTGTAGATGCTATAGGTGATAGGAATTATTTGTATACTTCATGTATATACTTTGTATTTCCTTTCCTTGTTTCTTCTCACTTCATCATCTTGATTTGCAGTAGTGTACCATTTGAAGACTATTCCCTTGGGAATGTCCTCTATCATAATAAGATAATATTATACGAAATAATGTGTTGCAGACACTGGTTCAGTAAAATATAGGTTACTTTATGGAATTTCAGTATAAGAATATTGCCAGAGCGAGCAGTTTAATTTCTTTTGATTTTGATATCTTCTTAACATTATGGCAGTTGAGATCAGCAGTTGGTGACTTGAACAGGTAGTACCTCCATTTTATTCTGAGGATTTTGAACTCAGGGCATTTTTCTTCTTGTGCAGATTTCTGAGTCTGTGTTCTTTGGTTTATATTCAGTCGTGTACTAGAATGCCTTTTGGGACAGTGGGGTATCTTGTAAAATTGAAATTCTGGTTAACCAAACCATACATAAAATCAGTACAACTTGCAGTGCAAAAGAGGAGCTTAGGCTTGGAGGATTTTGTAATTTTTCAAATGTTAGTCCTGATTTATATGGCTTTATTTATCTTATCTATATAATTACGCCCAGAGACTGAGGATCACCTTCTAGAATAAGTGCTGCATTTTTGTCATCTTACGATATATGCCCTTCTTACGGGAAAAATCACATACTTCATTCCTGTAAGGAGAAGAAAAAGAAAAAAGAATGGCTTTATTCATTCTACTGGGGAATGGGCCATCTTTGGGAATTTTAGAGAAGCTGGTACATTCTTCAGTGACACATCTGGCACAGTTGGATAGCATTTATTGGTACAGAGTGATTGCGACTGATGTGCCAAACACATGACACAAAAGAGGACAAGCCTCTCTGTTTTCTCCTTTTCATCCTCTGTTAGTACAAATGCATATCCATTTAGAGAGCTTCTGTCTTTACTGGCAGTTGAACTACTTCAGTGTTCCTGCCTATCTGAGATGAAAGAGAAAAGAAAATTGCAAAGCACCAAATGGAAGCATAAAAGAGAGTCACATTTTCTAATAAGTAGCACTTAATAGTAATAGGTAGGACAGTGCTACATTTATGCCTACATTGAACCCAAAATAACTGGCTGACTGGTATGAATTGTTGCATGCAGATTTTTTTTCTGATTTTTTAAAAAAAAAAAATTATTCATGGCGGTTAAAATTGTCAAGTAGGAGTCCTGTTAATAATTATGGATGAAGTACATAATTGCTACTGTTTGCATATTTGGAATTTCCTTGCTCTGTAAACAAATCTGTCTGCAGGAGCGGAGCAAGTAAGAGGAGAGTTAGGGTCGTGCTTAATTGAAGCATTGTTTGCATACACCAGAAATGCACAAATGAAATCTGGGACATAGAATAAAGAATTCTCATGCTGCTTGACTTTCTTTTTACAGTTAAAGGAGGGTAAGGGCTGTTGACCTCAATAAAATCTGAACAGTGAATAGAAGATCTTGTAATCAGTATCTTAAAAGGGGGTAGGTTGAGGAGTGGAGAAGAGGTGTTGGATTGCTTCAGCTAGCCATCCTAAACTGTTACATGAATTAGGTCAGTGCTGAGTCTCAAAGCAAAATTTATCTGCCTACTTAATTGCAAAGTTCAGTTCTCAATATCACTTTGTCTGCTTACAGAGCAGAGCAGCAGAGTGTGATGAATTATTGAGAATAGAAGAGGACACACAATGGCAAACAGACGAAATGTAAGTATTTTTTATTTATCTATAAGTAATTAGCTGTGTCATTTAATTAGATTGATCAGAACTGGCAGTCCCTTATCAGTTAATAATTTTGTAGACTTGGAGGCATGACAGAAGCACAGCCTTGAACTTTGTGGGTGCTCAATGTTTTACACGTTATTGCCAAATAGAGTGGATGTTATATTACAGCTAATTAATATTTATGCAACAATAATGCTGTAATATTTTTTACCTATGTGGAATGCAAGCTTTTTAACTGGGTATTCTGATATTTAGTCTGTTAATGACAGTGGTAAAAAAGGATTTTATCAAAACTTGTAAATTTAATGTACATTTTAAAAAATGTAATTTAATCGGAAAAAATTCCTCAAGCTCTTTCTTCTTTTGTCATAATTTTAACCCTGAAGCAATCATTAATTCATAGACATTAATTCAAGAGCAGAGCAAGTGAACATCAGTTGCTGAGGAGAGTGCATAAGAAAAGGGGATTTAGCATGACAGTTTACTGTGAAGCTGTCACTAAGCAGAGCAGTCGAGTCCTATATGATTTAAAAACAAAAATTGAAGGAAGGGAAGAATGAAAGAACCTTATTGGCAGAACTAACAGGTGATCGTGTTTCTAAACCCCAAAAAGAATTACAAATGTTGAAAAGCAAAAGAAAGCATGCTGGTCCATTAAAAGAATTGTTGTATTTAGTACTTATGTTAAAACAATGTGATGAGTGGAGTTAATAAGAGTCAAATATTGGTAAATAAATTTTGAATTTTAGAAGTCAGTCTGTTTTATTGAAATGCTAAAAGTTTTAGTTCACCACATTTGTTTATATATGTATATATTGGGTTGGGGGGCTTTAAGGACAAAGTGCTGGAAAATTTTTTCAGAAGAAACCCTTTCCATAAATCCAGCACGTACTACTGTGCACAGAGGCTGGTTTTTTTCCCCTCTATACTATTTGCATGCCAGTTGGAAGATACAGCTCACAAACTGAAATTCAGACTACCCTTGATAATTGCTGTTGTACCTCTTTTTTGAATGTTTTTGTTTTCTGTTGTAGAATAAATTTATCAGAAGAACAAACTATTGATATAGCAATGATAGAGCAGCTAAGAGAAGCAGTAGATTTATTACAAGATCCCAACAGGTATGCTTACAATAGGTGGTGTCTTAATGTCATGTATTTAAAATTTTTGTGAATGGCTTTGGAATTCTTAACTGATAATTGAAAGTTCTCTGGAGTTATGAGGTGCTTTGTTAGCATACTGATGTTTTTCAGAAGGCACTTAGATAGTTAAGAAGGAAACTTGCATTCTCTCTCTGAGTATCTAGACAAGATTCCCAGTAAATTAAGAAGGATTTCAGGTTTAAAAGAAACCTACATTTAGAGGTGGAGACATCTCTTAACCATTCATCTCATGTACACTACTGTGATTTTTCTGAAGTTTTGTCTAGGATAGTCACATTTCTTCTAAAGACTATAAACTCTCCTCTACTTACTAATACTTGGTGAATTTTGTGGGGATTGAAGAATGTCTTCTGGCTCAGCTTCATCCCACCTCAATGGAGCACATAAAGGAGACCTGAATTAGTGGGGGAGTTTCTGTAGTCTCCCTCTGAGATCAAAAGGAGAAAGAGGAAGAGGCAGCTATGTAAAGTTACTTTGATTTCCCCTGACTACAGAAGGCAAGGTTTTATAATTTAGGTGCCTGTTTTAAGTGGCTAAATTCAGGTGGAATGACTCTATTAAAAGAAAATAAACGCTTGCCCTACTGAAAAGGACTGAGAAGAGTGGTGTAGGTAGTTTTGTCCAGATGCTTGCTATTGCTTTTCTTTGTAACCACTTTCAGAAATTGATTAAGTTCATTTCAAAACTAAGTAACTCATTTTTCTTCATTACTTCTATGAGGTAGCTGGTCTAGAGCTTAATTTCTCTCAAGACTGGAAACCTCCTTGTCACTTCCAGCCTAAAGTATCCTTGTTTCTCCTTCCTCCCTTGGCCAGTTCACCGTAGCCGTTTGTTCTTCCAACTACACTGTTCTTTAGTTTAAATGCCTATTTTGATACTGCTTTTTCATCTAGGAGACTTCTGTACTTTTTAGGACAGAAATTTACTCCTCTTAGTATTTCTAGAGAGACAATTATCTGGCTTTATTTTGGATCATATAAAGAATACTTGAATTCTTGAATCATATACTAAATACTTAAATCACAAGTATTTTTGCTTAATAAAAAGTCATACAAATTAGGAAAGCTTTTTAGTTCCTGTGGTTTCTGTAAGATAGTATACCATTGCTTCTGCACCTCATATGAGGCTTATTACTTTGTGAAAGAAGTGTTGCAATTAGAAAAGGAAAAAGTCTGGTTTGGAAAAAAGCGACATTAAAAAAATTTCAGTTGTTAGCCATATAAATTTTGTCATTTTGTTTTTTGTCAAATATTGCCCCAATATTTCCTACATATTTAGTTTTTCTTAGTAAGTTAAAAAGGGCAATAAAATACAGAAAATTAATCTGTTTCTCCATGCATATTCAGATGTGTTTTCATTAGTCACACTATAGTAAACTTGAAGTGTGGATTTTAAAAATGGCTAATCATGTCATGCATGTCTCTATTTTTCTACTGTTTTTTTACATAGTGTTGGGATTTTTTTTTTGTGGCTGCACTTTGTTTTTCTAAAATATGAGTATTTATTTTTAATTTACTGAGTGCTATATAAGCTTTTCAATGTATGTCTCTTGTATGTTAACATACAGACTTACCCAGCAAGATACACCTGGGTGCCTAATACTTGCCAAATGATGCTGTAGACTTTCAATCCTCTGCGCCATGGGTTCTTCAGAATTGTTTTTATTATTACTGGATTACATGGCAGTTTGTTATACACTTGCATTATATAAAGCAGTGTGACAAAATTTTGTTTTTCATACTGAATAGTTTTTGTGTCTTTATCCAGATCCAGAAAGGAATTTAAATGCTTCCATTGTTCCTTAGTTTAAGACGCACAAAAGTCTTCATTGCTTTTAACTCAAACCTAGGGCATGTCAAAAATTTTAACTTTCCCCTAAGAGGTTTCCTTTGTGCATCAGTATAACTCTAATCATCTAGTCAGGATAACCTAGCTGAAATAACTAATTCAAGCCAGAATTGCCCTTATCTCACACTGAAGGCCGTTTAGGAGTTAGAAAGAGAAACTGTAGGGACTGAAACAGTAGGTGATGCTGACACACCTAACAGGCACTGACTAGTGTTCAGTGTAGAGCATATCAATTGGAGCTATTTTCGCTAACAGATATGACTATTACACTTGTAAAACACTTGTCCAGTTACTGTTGTCCTAGTGTTCTGCAGAATTTCAAATCTGCGTATGCTATGTGTACATAAGCAGCATTTCAGTTCTGGAAAGGAAAAAGATTTCAGACTCAACCTTTTTCGGTATTTTCAGATGCTTGTTTCAGATTCCTATATTCCCTTTCCTATATTCACTGTTTTCTTTCATATCATTGTTGTGAATTTATTGTTGCGCTGCTTTATTTTCATCCACTGTAAATTAAATTTGAATATCTAACCAGGGCTGTGGCTTCTATTTGAACACAGGGTGCTAGAAGTTGGATATAGAAATCTACAGTCTTCTAGATAATGGCACGGTTGTTGGTAGTAAACAGGTCCTTTTGTTTTGATACAAGCCATTGCTCAGGGTGACATTTTGCAGAGGAAAGCATTAATGTTGCTTTGACTGAACTGGTGATAGTGAAGCATCAGGAAGCATTTCAAAAAGTTGTTAAGAGATAACACTGAGCAGTTAGAACCATGACTATAAAAGTATTTCATATATCCATTTGTTTGAAATTAAATACTGAACAGAATGGTTACCAAAGCTATACCCCAGTGCAATGTTTTTATTTCAAACCTTGCAGATTAAGCATGGATATTTCAGAGAGCAGTGGTGTGAATCTGTATCCCATGGAACCAGCAACAGCTTTAGAATTTCAGGAGTCTACAGTAAAGTGTGTTTATCTACCTTTTTTAGAAAAAAATAATGCATTTGTTAGATTCATCATATTCAAGTTTCTACACAATGAATTACATATTTGCATTTGTTTATCTTTATACATAGCAGTCAAATGCAGATGGAGATGTCTTCCCTTGGTCAGGTACGTTAATGAATGCATTATTACAAAATATTGGGGGGGGAGGGGGGCAAGAAGGGAAATGAGCCAACAACTTCATCAATTATTAATCTACCAAGTAGAGAAGGGAAAAAATTAGTAGGTTGGAGGACACAACTAATTCTTCTTTAACGTTTTTATGGAATTGTTTTTATTTTTTTGTATGTGTATATATAAAATTTTCCTGGGTTTCTAAGTTACTTTTTCATCTTAGTTTTTTTTCCCCTGTGTGCAGCTTTCATGTATGCCGGTTCATAGCTCAGCTATGCATACTCGTCTACCACCCCAATCCCCTATCTCCCTGTTCTGGTGTAGGAAAACAGTACATTCATTAAGGATAACCCAAAAATATTTTGTAAACTGAAAATTATTGTTTTCCCAGAGCACTGTCACTATAGTTACAGAGAGTATATACAGTATGATTTGGAGTTTTACAGTGTGATATATGCTGCTTATTATTTGATCTGTATCCTGACTGGTGAACTGGTGTCCTTTATGACGTACTTTGTTTAGATTTACATTATCTACCTGTTAGCACTGGAACTGCAAGTATATAGTATATGCTTACTGGTTTGTTTGCTTTTCATCACAGTATTTGTAAGAAATATTTCTGAGGTAATGTTATGCAAAAAAAATATAGTTCTGTTTCCAGTGATGCACAGTCTAAAGAGTTATTTATCTTACAGAGAGAAAATGCTGAAGAGGAACTAGAATTTCAGAGGAGGAGGGAGTTGATTATGGAGAAAGCAAAGCCTGAAGTGAGAACTCGTGAACAGGGTGAAAAATGGTCATTGAGTCAGGTATGGAGGTGTCTAGACACAACAAGTGTGGAAACATTTGGAATGGATCATGGCATTCTGTCAATTTGTGTGTGGAGATAATAGTGGGTTTAGGCCCGTTGGGTTTTGGTTTTTGCCTTAGCATGAATCTCAAAGTTGGGCTGTAAATGGGAAGTTGATTAAGACCTATGTCTCAGGAAAAAAAAAGATATAATGAAATTAATAAAAGTCTTTTCTTCCAATAAACACTATAGTAGTTGCAGTGGTTGCATTCCCATGGAAAAAATAAGTCACCTCGAAGTTAGATCTTCAATAAAATGAAACACCTGATTCCTCTTCCCCCTCACCCCAAATACTCTTGTAGTTATGTAAGGCGCTAGGTTTTTGTTAACGGCAGTATTTTTATGTGTTTAATATTACAAACAGACTGTTTATACGTTGAGATGACAGTTTTAAGGTTTAAAAAATATTTTAAGTTTTGTGTACATTGCAATGATCCAGAAATGAAGAACAGTGAAAAAATCTAATTGAAATCTTTGGTGCATATGTTATTACTTCAGAACTTGTTTGTATAGGGATTTTTGTGATTGCTCTTGCAAGAAGATTCTGAGGAAGAAATTACATAATGTTCTGTCTATATTGATAGTGCCTTAATATGGTCTATCTTACCCAGACATAGGTTGAATCTGGTTTATCGTGATGCTTTTCAAATATTCTATGTATAATCATCATTACTGTCAAATATTCCTATGACATCCTTGTGACTTTGTTTGTCTTAATTTTGTCTTTGTTTTTTCTTTAAAATATCAAAATCAAAAAAATTGAGTTGGTTCATCTCTTTTTTGTTATATTGTTGTACGTTGGGGTTACCACACTTTATTTGGAACAGTTCTTACTACATTGCTGAGATTAACAGATAAGGCTAATTCACTGTCAAAATGTGTGTGGTCTCTGTATTTTGATGAACTGTTTAACAAGGACACTGCTGATTCACTTTTAAGAACCATTTCAAAAGAAGAAATAAATCTTCCTGAACACTTGTAGAGGGCCTGATCTGGACTGTGTTATGCAGGTGAAAGCACTAGGCACATTCCATGAAATGGAAACACATCTTGCAAGAGCAGGTTTTTCATCATGCTACGTTCTGTGTAGTATAGTAAGCACTGGTGTTACTACTTGTGTTACTAAATTAATTCAATTCAGCATAAAGTCAAAATTCTGACTAGTGACCTGCATGCTGCGAGAGAGATTAGACCTGCAACATACGCACAACTAGCAGGTCTGTCACAAGAACATAGCCCCTGAGCACAGGAGTGCTCAAGCGTGCGAGTCCCCAGGTAGAACTGGCTGGGATCAGATGAGTAAGATTTCTTTCTGTTTATTCTAGGTAATACAGTGGTTGAGGTAATAATATGAAAGATATCTAAAGCTGAAGAATTTTTTTTTAAGCTTGAAAAGTAGCCAAGAAAGGTCATGAAGCAAAGTGGGTGTGTAATCTTCCTTCCCATCTTGCTAACTTTTGGAAAGCTCTGTGACTGTTGGGACCAAGTGTTCCAAGTGCCATCTTTTTTTTTCTTTTTTGTTTTCATTTTTTATTGATTAAAAAAAATTGGCCCTAAGGAAATCATTTTGAATTGAATTACAATTTGTTTTTACTTATGCCAGCTCTGTTTCTGCTGACTGAGTTATGATTGATGCAGAATTAATGATTGTATTTCATATTTATTAACGTTATTTACATGTTTCCAATTTAACTATAACAGAAGTGGTAACAAAAGGTATGTTATATTGCAATTATAAAATGAATTGCTTATGGAATACTTCTCTCTTCAAAACTATATTAAAAAATCAATATTTGCATATTAAACTCTTGGTGATAGTTTAGTTACAAGATCTGTGAAACAAAGTTGGATACTGCATTTGAAGCAACAAACATTAAAATCTTATAAATGCAGTTATAATCACTTAGGATTGAAACTAAAAAATGAATGACAAATCTGTGCGAATAATTTCCATGAGGCTTTTTTAAATGTTCAACTAGCAATAAAAGTATTTATTATTCATGAAAATTAATTGTTTCAGTGAAAAAAAAGAATTAAGTATTAATGTGTATCTGAGTATCATGAGTAAAATATCCTGTTGTGGTGTATCACTAATATAGTTACTGAAATGGTCTTCCCTCCCTCCTCTTTCCAAACACGCAGAATGATCTAATTGTTTGGAATACAAGTGGGCAAACCTCTCACAATGAGGTAAGATGCTAGTGCTATTTGTTTGTCTCTTACATGTTTTATATGAATGGTTCATATACTAAATGAAACATGTAATTGAATATCACAGAAAATATGACTGAGCTCATCAGTAATGGCTATGTGGTTTATTTGGCCTGTGGTTTATTCTTGTCGTCTTAAGGATTTACTAGGGTATAGAAATATACTTTCTAATAAGCTTGTTTCTAAGTAATGTAGTTTAGTATAAAACATTTAATTTTTTTACATTTTGTTCATTCTGCCACATTTTCTTTTTTTGACTTTTCCTTGTTCCACAAGAGTTTCTATTGATTTCAGTGCAATTTCTTTTTGCACAGTTGTGTCATGTCCTTGATTAGTTTTCATATCATTTTCACAGTGCGAATCTCAGCAGAAGGTCAAAAAGTGAAACTGTAGGGAGCTCCTTATGGAGACTTTTTCCCTTCGTATTTTCTGTGCAGAAACAGGGCTTCTTCCTCTACATGGCACTGTGTGTGAGCATCTTGCAAATTCATGAGCACCCAGCCACCTTTTACCAGTCTTGGTGATGGGACTCCTATAGTTCCTGGCGCCCTGGGGAATCACTTTTTAAATAGGGTTCCCATTACGGAGTTTGGTTATAGGACTCTTTCTATGTTACCATTGATGGTATGATTATACCTCACTTTCTCCTGTATGCTACTACTCCATTCTTCCTGCTGCAACTGCTAGCCTAGTTCAGAGTCAAGGGCAATCCTGCTCTGAGGTGTATGCTTAACTTCCTCTTTTCTGCTTTTTAAGCAGAAATTCAGTGTTGCATGGAAAATACCATGCAGAATGGTAATTAATTCTGTGAAAGAAACAAACGTATCTAAGGAAAAAAACATGTCTTTGCTTTGTTTTTCTAAATGTACTATGCCATAAAAATGTATGTTTGATGGAACCAAGTGATTAGATGGGAGAAAACTGAGAAATAATTGAGCTTATTTATAGCTAGAGGGAATATCTTGCAGTCTGTGGTCAGACACTCGTCTTTTCCAGCAAAGGAATAGGACAGAATAAAAAAGGGAGATTATCATAGGTTTGAGGCTATATTGTGGTCAGATTATGGTGGAATAGTTGTAGCATGCAGTATTGTTAACTTTTGCATTTTGTACAGCACAACAGTCAGCTGCGCTAAGATATTCTGGATGTTACTCTTACTTAGATTTATGTTCTTGAATTACACAGAGCAAGGATAAAAGTCCGACAATGTCTCCTACTACAAACACCGCAATCCCTTTTGGCCTGAAGCCACGATCAGGTAATGTGGGAAAGAAAATTAACCAATTTGTGTGTACTTTTTTTTTTCACATCTGTGTTATTAGTAGATGGCTGTATTTTTTTTTCCATTAAGAAGGCAGTGATGAAACATTTTCTGTACAACAGTTGGAAGAAGGTTAGAACATTTTAAGATTATAGGTTTGAATCAAGATTGAGTTTGTAACAAGTATGTATTTGGCACATTATATATGGATCAATTTTCATCCCTTACTAATAAATTACGTGTTTTATAAAATTATATCTATGTATGTTTAAAAAATGTGTGTATGTATATAAATACACATATTTTGTACATGTATACATATATATCATCTGTGCTGACGTACTAATTGAAATATGATTTTTACTTAATTGGTATGTAGGGATACAGTTTAGATTTTGTTGAATAATATATGTGAATAATTAGGCTTGTTTGGAAAACGCTTATGCATTGCTCTGAAAATTGCTCATTGCAATGAGTCTTTCAGTAGTTATGCTTGTGTAAGGATCAAGCATTATAGGAAGATTAGATGTTTACTTCAGCCAACAGCTGAGTTTAATGAATTTGCAATGCACTAAATCTGCATAACCATCAGTCTTTTAACAAGCAGCACTTTATTTGTTTAAAAAAAAAAAAAAAAACCACAAAAAACTCCCCAAAAAACTATTGATGTATTTGAGGGCTTGGATAACAGCTTCCTTTAAAAACAGGATTAGCTACAGGATTAAACTCATTTTTTATCTTCTCTGTGCTGAGGTAGTCAATGTTTTTAAGTCATCTCACATCACCTCTAAGTAACTGTAGGTTTTTCAGTATGTTTCAGCATCCTAAGACTAATTCTGGTTTCTCGCATTCACCACAAATGCTTTTAATGAAATGCTGGTAAACCACTACAAGCTTGTAGTTTCCATAACAAAATATCTTGGCAGTAATGGCAGCAGTTTCACATTTGAATTTGCTTAAGAAATTGTACCCATAGATTTGGTGGTGGTTTTTTTTTTAAGTTTTAAAAAGCAAAGAAAATGGTATTGAACCAACCTTGTTTCATGAAGAGGATATTTTCGTTGTGATATGCAGTTTGACTGATCTGTTCAGTTGCATTTCTTAGTTTGTTGGACTGTTAAACTCTGGCTCTATTCGTGTATGTTCCTGATGCTTTAGAGATGTTGTTATTTCTATATATTTAAAGTATGGGTTAAATAATGAGCAAATGGGTCCTTTCAGGATTTGGAAAAAATAAAACATTGAGTAATATTGCATAGTCCAGTGGCAACATTGCGATAACACCATTAGGAGAAAGACATATGAAGGCAAACGGGCCCATTCATGGGATGTAGTCCATGTTCTGCTGAGCTGCCAGTGAAATTTGCTGCTGGGGACTCGAAGCAGCATTGTGGGAGAGAATGCAAGACCGTGACTTCTTGCTCAAGTGTTAGGTTAATGTGCACTTGCTAATCTTGGTATATCAGTGTGCCAAGATGTCCTATACTTGATGACTGTAATAGGCCAGGGCAAAATAGCCTAGTGAATCTTTTTTTAGAGGATTTCTGGGAAGACTGGATTGCAACGGTTGCAGTCCTTTGCAACAAATCCTCCAAGTCGCATGATGGAAGACTAGATGTGCACAACTCCTACAGTTCTTCCCCTGACTATATTGCAGCTGTGTATAGCCTCATTGAATACTGAAGTCAGTTGGTTACAGTCTGTTGATTTTCTGCATTGTACCCATTCAATTCATATATTTGAATCGCTTTGAGTGTGCCAATACTATAGTGTATTTTGGTCACAGCTATGGGTTGCAGAAAACTTGATAATCTGAATTTATTTTCCTCTCCATATCATACACTACCGAGTCACCAAGCTAGAGCCATTACTGCACAAATCTTTCACCTCATCACGTCCCATTTCAGTCATGTTACCTTAAATTTATACCATGGTAAGACAGGGGAGTTTGGCAATAGTAAAACTTTAGGTCCAACTTCAGATAAAAAGACAGTATATTAGCCATTTAGCACAATGTGACAAAAAGAAACCTTGCAAAGGAGTAGTGAAGCTGCATATTGTTTCCTGTCCTGCTCCCACCCTAGAATTACTCTAAAAGTAGTATTAAAATTTGTGTTGCTAACACATAATGATAATTTACAGATAGAAGTAGTACATGACTGAAAGTACTGGCATGTTTGTGAATCCTGCATGTTTTTCCCATTAAAGGTGGTTAGCTTGCCATGTCTCTAGTTTCTTTACTGTATTTCCTTTAAAACTTTGTGCGAGTTTGAACCATCCTATCACTGTCTGAATTTGTACTTGTTAATTATATACTGCTTTATTGCCCTAGAGCTGAGCTAGTCTAGAGGTGCAGCAATTTTGTGATCCAGGAAAGTTTTTCAGCTCAATCTGTAGTTTATTTTAATAGCTTTTTTAAATTTAAGTTCTTCATGGCCTTCTGGGAAACCTTAAAACTCATTGGAAATGAGTTTTAGCTATTTAACTTCATTAGAGCTTACATTTGAATTACTTGCTTCTTAAAAATCTTTTAAATCGGAGTGCAAGATTAAAAGAACATTGAAGTGTTCTAATTAAAATGTGTACATCATGCTCTGTGGAAAAAATAGTGGCAAATTTTCAATGAAAATATATGCAACCATACCTTTCTGAAACTTGAGAGTTTATTTTCACTGTGTTTATTTTAATGTATTTTAAATGAATGTTGCTTTCTATTTTGCCCCCC